CTTTACTCCAAAAGGAAGTCTATTATACCGGAACAATCCCTTGTGAGTGTTTATTGTCAAGTAATGCTTACACTCATCCGCTACCGGAATCTGTAGATAAGCTTCTAATAGGTCTAATTTCGCAAAATACCCCCATTCAGTTTCGCAAATAAATCCTCTGGTACCGGCAATGGGTATTGATGGGCTTCAAGCGCTTCATTTAATCCCGTCGAATAATCAGCACATAGCCGGATACTTCCATTTGGCTTTTTGACAATTACTATTGGAGCTGCCCAATCAGAAAAGTTTACTGGCTCTATTATTCCACTTCTTTGCAGACGCTCTAACTCTTGTTCAACAATAGGTAGCGCTGCATAGGGTACCGGGCGTTTTGGTCTGAAGACGGGGGTGACTCCTGGTTTAAGAATCAATAGTGCTTTTACCTTTATGCATTCCCCCAACTCTTCCGTAAACACTTGACTATGTCTTTCCAATACAACACTCTTCAGATCCTTTTCCACCGGTTTATTGGTTCTCACTGTGCTGCATATGTGGTTAATAGGGTGATTTGCTAATTGTAGTGTTTCTATCAAGTCTAGACCTAGCAAATCTAGTTCTGGATTCTGTGTAAGATATAAAGTTGCATTCGTTTTCGCGTTTCCTTTCGAAACTGTACAACAAACCTCTCCAACAATATTTAGTTTTCCTCCAGAAGCGCTGTGAGGTAACTGGGTTGTTGGAAGCACCTGTGGTTTTCCGATAAGATTCCAAGTTCTTCGAATAATAAGTGTGATGTCCGAAGCGGTGTCGAGCTGCAGGCGGGCACGCTTCTTATTTATATCTAAGTTTACATACTTTCTTTGGCGGCAAATTCGTGCTCGATTATGTGAGAAAAACTAAAAACACCAGAGAACAAAAGATATAATCATTAGTGCTTCATAACACTTTACTCTCTTGGTACACTTTCCACTCTAATAAGCAGACTTCTTTATCCTAACTTCGACTTCCCTCCCAACATCTGAACCTGCTCCACCTCGTTGAATATCACAACTCATTGATTTTTATTACCACATTCTCTTATCTGGAGACTCTAACCACATTTCACTACAACAACAAGAGTTAGCATGAGTTAAATCTACTAATTTATCATATCTATATCTGTTCCACTAAAAAGTGTTAAGCATTGTCTAGCGTTTAAATCCAAGTGCTTTGCTGCTCCTTTGTTACTCTCTTTTCAGCATCACGCTCTCAATGCACAGCTATGGAGCTTCTGAAGCCTGAAACAAACTTAACGTACGCGTTTCTTCAAGGTCACAGCTCATGCCAAGCGCTCCATAAACCTGCTTTACAACAACTATAAACTTAAAAAGTTGTATTGTGCGACAAATACATGGTACAATGAATAAACGGGTGGGGAAATATAGTAAACTAAAGCGACCAGTCAAGAACACACAAGGCAAACCAATGACTGGGATTCAAGAACAGAGGGACAAGTGCGGAGAATACTTTGAATATCACCTACAGACCTTCCTATTGATCTCACCCCACCAACGATCGAACAAATCAGGATGGCCATCAGACAATTCAAGGGTGGGGAATCACCAAGAATAGATAACACACCAGTTGAAGCACTGAAGTCAGAAATAGAAGTAGCTGCAAACATGCTCCACATTCTATTGAGAAAGACATGTGAGGAAGAACGAGTGCCGACAGATTGGAAAGGTTACCTCACTAAGACACTGAAGAAATAAGATCCGAGAAAGTGTGAGAACTACAGAGTCATCACACTACTATCAGCACTGGGAAAGGTTTTCAACAGAATGTTTTTGAATCAGATGCAAGATTCAGTAGACGTCTAACTTTGAGATCAACGGGTTGTATTCCGTAAAGATCGGTAAGGCATTGACCAACTTGGGACACTACAGATCATTGTTGAGCAATCACTTGAACGGAACTAGTCATCATACATCAACTTCCTTGATTATGAGAAAGCGTTTGACACAGTGGATTGTACAAATTTATAGAACCTTCTTCGACACAATGGAGTAGCTGAGAATCTTGAGTCCTATTATAGGTATGAGGGCGGTCATCACTTCCCGGTCGCCCACACAGTGGAAGGGTTTTTCTAGATGTATCTGACAAGGAAACTGGGTTGGTGGTCTTAGGGATCTGAGAGCGTGACAGCAGTGCCCAAGAGACAATTGCATGAGGTCGATCACACACGACCTTTTTGCGAGTAGTTTTTGTGTTAGCTCCGTACTTGTTGAGACCTTACCGCCGGAGACGGATATCTTTGGGATAAGGCGAGGTGTGCATTCATTCGACTCGACGCTCCCAGCATCGCTGTTATGCTGGTTGTCTGAAAGAAACACCTTACTACTGTCACACCTCTGCACAGTCAGCAGTACGACTTCGCCTTCGGACCTTGGGTTTGCTGCTTTTAGTCTTATCGTTCTTCAACCGACTTGCCTGGTGTGGTAGGACCTTGAAAAACGGTTATGCTAGTAAGTATGTCCCGATTAGTTAGTCACGATAGGCAAGCCCGACCACCACTTGAAGGTAGCAGCAACGGTCGGGATGAGAAGGTCGTTAACATCATACGGAATTCATACGATGACCATTGCACAGACCCTAACCAAGAAGTCTGCAATTACCAACATGACCAAGATTAACAGTTAATGTCTACGGAATGAGTCCACGTTTTGGTCCGGACACTCCAAGCTCCCTCACTCTATTCCTGCCCCACCCACTGAGAAGTGGAACCCAAATATTGTGGCAGATTGTAGTTTGCCACCTTAACGATTCATTGCAAAACTGAAAAATACCTTCGAAAAAGGTATATGATGAAAGTGACAGCCCTTTCTTAATAACCGAATGATGGTTTTAAAAGTACTTGGGATCTAAAAACTTTTCGAAATCACAAAAGATTACAAACTTATGGTCATGATAGTTTTTGGTCAAGGTAATATCAGCTAGAGTACAGCCGAAAATCAATGTGCATTAGACATATGCTTGCGCATAGTTCGTAACTTCTAAAAAACAGATCTAACTAACAGTACTAAGTAGAAATACTGAAGCATAACAAATTTAACTGGTTTATTATATTCAAATTTCCCCATAATTTACGCCACCTTTCAACTATCTATAAATAAATGGTGTCTAAATTGCACACATACACAAAGGTAGCCACTAGAGGATGCACAACTACACATCACCTGAAATACTAACGTTATTTTTAGAGTAAACATCAAAACCGATTGATTTGTTTGGCTGACGTATCTTATTTTCATGTGTGAAAGCAATTAGTGGGTGAGCCAATTAATTGACAATTTACAAGGCATATATCACATATCATGATAGAAATATTTATATAGATATATGGATTATTAAAGAATATGGGATTGTAGCTGGGTTAATGACAAATAATCTGGATGCATAATCGTATAAAAAAACTGATGTGTGGCAGTAAAATTAAAATATGATTGGTCACGGAGTATGGACAAACAGCCACAACCTACTGACTTAAATATGTGGTTTTCTTACCTTCCCCTGATTTTCACTCTGGACTTACTGAGTGTGACTGCTTGTGGCTGCGTTGGGTAGTCAGTCAGTCAGTTAGTCAGCGACGAAAGCGTTATTTCCATCAGTAGGTCTATGATGAATTTGAACAAAAATGGAGAAAGTGGACATCCTTGACGGACACCACTTGAGGTTGCAAAAGTAGATGACAGTTCGCCATAAGCTCTGACTCGACTAGTAGCGTTGGAGTGAAGAGCCTTCACAAGGTTTAAGTACTTCTGAGGTACGCCTTTCAATGACAGACACTGCCACAGAATCTCACGGTTTACAGAGTCAAGTGCTGCGTTTAATTCGAGAAAGACCACTATTATCGGACGCCGGTAAGTATGCCTGTGTTCTATAACGTGAATAATAGTGAATATGTGGTTGATACATCCACGACCAGGTCTGAAGCCAGCCTGATTTTCTCATGTTGCAGTTCAGGAGTCTCTGTTAGGCGCCTGGTAATTATTGAAGCTAGTATTTTAGATGCTATATTAGACTGATCCCTCTATGGTTATCACAGGATGACTTTGACCTTTTCTTATATATTGGGACAATCAGTGATTGCGACCAGTCAGATGGGATTACGTCCAACTCCCAGATTTTAGCTAAAATATTAATTAAACTAATCGCTAAAACTAGGTTAACTAATATTTTATACCTGAGAAAAGTATTTTAAATTGTTATATCGGAAACTATATATATATATATATATATATATATATATATATATATATAGAGAGAGAGAGAGAGAGAGAGAGAGAGAGTTTAAATAAACGTGTCGGTGGTGAATATGGCTACTTATGTTTACTAGAAAGACTTGAAGTAATAAGAGCAAAATCAAATTGAAGGATTCAAACAAAAAAGCTTGGATTTAATCCAATAGGGTTTTCATATGCCTCTTGAACAACAAGATATTAACTTATTTACCACAATCTTATTCATGAACTTGCCTTCAAACCACACTCGAATTGTTAGGGCTAGTGATACAACCACGTAGCCTAAAACTAGTGTAAGTGAGGCAGATCTTAAGCCAGAGATCCATTGGTTCGAAATCCAGTGACTAAGTCGTCAATACTCCAGAACTTGATTTTATCTCTCTTTCAAACTGGTGGAACATTATTCAAATCGGAGCAGTTGTGACGAGGTCGAACCATTAAGTTAGTGGCCTTAACCGGTGAAACACTGCTCTAAAGGAAATGTTCTCTATTTAACGCAGACATGACTAGAATCGTCTGACGAAAGGTGGTATTAAGTCCCACTCGTATCCTAATATGTGGCTTGTTTGGAAATTGTGTATTTGTCAGTCGCACTTTAAACGTTCCCAATTGTTTGACCACCAGACATAAGGGAAATATAATCATCTGTCAGTAAACCATAAAAAAATACCAAATCTTGAAAAAGTAGTAAACAGTCCGTCTTGTTATTGCATGTTAGTTTACTAATACTTATCAACTCACTTGGGTATACACGAGTGGAGGATTAACCCAATCATAAGCAAATATTGTACCTAATTTACTACGAAATGATGTGATTTCATTCGTCAAAATTTCTACAGCTCTATCAAAGCGTATGTAGCCTTCTTCACGAGCTTTTGTAACCATATCTAGGGCCCATACTAACGGAACAAAGTATAAAGTATATTCACTGGGTTGAGTACTACGATAAATATCCAATTCTTCTTGTGTCATCAATCCTGAAAAGAGAAAAAGTAGTACGAACACTTTGAAACATGCAATTATCCTCATGAAAAAAATTAAATTTTGACGGCACTAGTCAGCAGTGAAATGCAGAATGGATGCTATACACTTTAGATATGAACTCAGTTAAGTGTATGTATAAGCGAGTTAATCCTATTTGGCTAGCACTTGTTAGTCTGTATATTGGTTTTTTAAAGTGACTACTTCAGTATTAAGGAAAACTATGAGATAAATTGACTATTTCCTTTGACTAGCTCTTCTTAAGAGAAAATATACACTGTAAATGCCATTCATGATTGCTATTAAATACCATAAAGTAATCTACTTCAGTATTAACGGACCTCTTACAAATAGCTCGGTTTATTAATAATTAATTATTGAATTGTTGGTGGTGAATTAACCAAGATTTGAATCAATTTACATTGTCATTATTCTGAGTATAACCTAAACCCACGTTCTGATAAAACACAATTATATACTCCAACTTTATCGGTAGGATTCCATCAGCAACAAGAACTAGACATAGTATTGGTCATTATAACTGATCAATCAGTGTGTACTCAACTGTTCCACAGTTCAGCTGTATCCCGAATAGTTAGGTGACAAAACACTAACTTTGACACTAAGTGACAGAAATTCGAAACCCACATGAAGCATCGGTTTCCTTGAGACAGTAAATATTCTATACTGACGAGTGTTAAAAAAACCTACATCCAAGGCTTTTTGTAGGTTGTCTCCAACTAACGAGTCCATCCACAATAAAGAAATGGATTTATTTATGTGCTTACTTTCAAATAGTAGATTACCAGAATAAAATCAGTCCAATACTTATATGCGAATGGAATGTACATTTTTCTAATGTACAGAGTACATTTCATTAACTCTTTCAGATTATATGACATAGAGTTTAAAGTGTATGATTGAAACACGTGTGAGAACTTGGGAATTACGAGTAATTTTAAAAAATAAGATTTAAGTACCAGAACATTTTTTCGCCATGGAAATGACAGTTATGAGGTGATGCTTTATATATGAGGTCTCAGAATATATTTTCGTGTAGTAAAAATAAGATTTAATACTTCAATTGTTTTTAATGTCTTTCATCTTCCGAAAAGCATGATTATAATTAATTACAATCCAGTAAATTCACAGTAGGTACTATGTAACGATGTCAATGATACATATTGTTTGAAAATCAACAATCACTCAGTTTCTGGGAAAGAAAATTTATATATATTTAAATGATAAAATTAATGAAATGGAATCAAGTATGTAATCCAGAGTTCATCATTTGTGTTCGATCATCGCTGTCTCCGAAGGATTGCTGACATTCAGTGGCAACACCATGTCAGTAATGCAGAGGTTCGGCATCGTGTGTTCGGGCACAGAGATGATAACTCAATTGGTGTCACCATCTTGAAACACCGACTTCGGTGACTTGGACATGTTCTCCGAATGTCGTCCCAGAGAATTCCACGTCGTGCATTATTTGCCGACTCTAGGACTGGTTGGAAGAAGCGGAGAGGTGGTCAGTGCATGACATGGTGTCGTGGCATGAAAGAAAGCTGCAAAGGACTGGCTTGTGTTGGTCCTTCACGACTCCCTGGTTGGGGTCTGAGAGATGGTGCTACACAGTGGCTAGAGACGTTATCAGATATGGCTCAGAATAGAAGCCAGTGGCGATCCTGCTGTAACCTTCTTTTACTTTCTTCATAAAAAGTGGTTGTGTCTCCTTTACCTGAAAGATTTCTTCTAATTGTACCTTTCTGTTCCCTCATTACTACCACACTACCTTACACCAATCTCTTCGTTATTGTTCTCTTTTTTTGCGCTCCTTAGCTTTTTCTTTTATTTCTCTTCGAATTCTCATTGTTTTGTGTGGCGCATATATATTGGCGCTCTCTTGTACCAATATTCATGTGTTCAAATAAATAAATAAATAAATGTAATCCAGAGTTCAATATAAATATTCCTATCAAATAGTTGGACTATCATACTACTTTCTGAAATTACTAAAAGACATCACAATTAACATTCACATTAAGAAGCTGTTATTATTAAAGTCAATAAAAATTTTTTATTTATTTATTTGAACATATAAATATTGGTACAAGAGAGCGCCAATATATATGCGCCACACAAAACAATGGGAATTCGAAGAGAAGTAGAAAGAAAAAAAAACTAAGGAACGCAAAAGAAAAAGAGAGTAATGACGAAGAGGTACAATCAGAAGAAATCTTTCAGGTAAAGGAGACACAACCACTTTTTATGAAGAAAGTAAAAGAAGGTTACAGCAGGATCGCCACTGGCTTCTATTCTGAGCCATATCTGATAACGTCTCTAGCCACTGTGTAGCACCATCTCTCAGACCCCAACCAGGGAGTCGTGAAGGACCAACACAAGCCAGTCCTTTGCAGCTTTCTTTCATGCCACGACACCATGTCATGCACTGACCACCTCTCCGCTTCTTCCAACCAGTCCTAGAGTCGGCAAATAATGCACGACGTGGAATTCTCTGGGACGACATTCGGAGAACATGTCCAAGTCACCGAAGTCGGTGTTTCAAGATGGTGACACCAATTGAGTTATCATCTCTGTGCCCGAACACACGATGCCGAACCTCTGCATTACTGACATGGTGTTGCCACTGAATGTCAGCAATCCTTCGGAGACAGCGATGATCGAACACAGAGAGTCGTCTAACGTCCTCAACTCGGAGAGGCCAGGTTTCACAAGCATAGAGCAAAACTGCTCTCACCGACGCGTTGTAGATCCGGCCTTTTACAGCCAGACTAACATCACGAAGGCGCCAAAGGTGGCCCAGATTGGCATAAGCCGCTCTGGCTTTCACTATTCGTGCATTGATCTCATCACTCACACCCCCACCAGCACTTATGCAGCTACCCAGATACACGAACTTCTCAACTACGTCTATCTGCACACCGTCCAGGGTGAGTACAGGATTACAATCCTGCCAGTATTGTAGAAGTACTTTGCACTTCGAAGGTGCAAAGCACATACCATACCTACGGACATTGATTGCCAACTGATTAAGTGCGGATTGCATGCCTTGGGCATTATCGCACAGTAAGACAATTTCGTCCGCATACTCAAGGTCGAGAAGTCTTTCTCCAGGCAACAGATCCACACCACCATTACTTACATTCATCAGAGCTGTTTCCAGAATGTCATCGATGGCAAAGTTGAAGAGGAATGGTGAGATTGGGCAACCCTGCCTAACCCCACTGCTCGAATGGAACAATGGAGAGAGGTGGTTGTATGCCCTCACTCTGCCTGAGGTGTTTTTATACAGGGCTTTTAGGATGTTAATAAACTTCTCAGGCACACCCTTCTTCAATAGACAATCCCAGAGAACAGTCCTATCCAACGAATCGAAGGCAGCCCTGATGTCAAAAAACACTACGATTGTTGGCCTTTGATAAGTATGGCGGTGTTCTAACATTTGGCGGAGGGTGAAGATATGATCAATACATCCTCGACCAGAACGAAACCCAGCCTGCTCCTCGCGAGTCAATCTTTCTCGGGTTTTGAACAACCTACGAAGAATGACGGAAGCCAATAGCTTGGACGCAATCGGAAGTAAACTTATCCCCCGATAGTTGTTACAAGAACGACGTGAACCCTTTTTAAAGATAGGGACAACTATCGACTCATTCCATGACGTTGGTACACTCTCTAGTTCCCAAACCTTTGTAAACAACGTCGTCAATTCCTTAGTCAAAAAGTCACCACCATCTTTAAAAAGAGCCGGAGGTAAGTCATCTGGGCCAGGTGATTTGTAACGCTTCAAGAGTTGGAGTTCCTTGCGGACTTCCTCCTCATTTGGTGGATCAGTCGTCACCGGCCATGGAGGGCAGGACAGTCTGACCGATGTTGCCGGAGCAGCAGGCCAGTTGAACTGCCCTTCGAAAAATTCTGCCCATCGTCCAAGACGTCGATGGATGTTAGTGATTGGCATCCCATCACCCTCGCAGATTGTTTCACTCACACCAGACTTCTTGCTGCCAGTGGCTCGGATGAGTTGGAAGAGCTTCCGGTAGTTACCAGATGCAGCTGCTGCTTCCAGCTCATTAGCACGCATCGACCACCAGGCTTCTCGGTCCTTACGCAAGCTTTGCCCGATTTCCTTACGTAAAATCCTTCGTTTATGGTCAAACTCACGGTTACCCGGAGTAGACCGACGGGCTTCAATGAGTTGTAAGGAACCAGAAGAAACCCAGTGCTTAAAAGCGGGACGTTTCGCAAATCCACAACTGACTGTTCCCGCCATTTTCATGGCGTCATGCAATTGCAACCAATGCTCATCTATACTTTTCGGTGGAGTGGTAGAAATTGACACATATATCAATAATCAAACAGTTAACTGGAACCCTCCACCTCAGTGTTCAGGTATTCACAAACATATTACTTAATATTTTGTTAGACAGATACAACCCAGAAATCGCAATAAATTGGCTAATTTACTAAAACAATGATATTGCAAGCGTAAACCTAGAGAACAATGAGTTTCGTTATGCAATAACAGTACAATGGAATCCAAACCCTTAACTTACACAAAAAACCAGAAACATTAATATTAAAACGTATCTTTGTCATATAAAGCGTGAAAATTGATTAAAATAACATTGAGTCCTATTTTCAAAATGACACAATACTTAATGAAAACATTGGATCACCTGCAGTAACAAGATGTTCTTCTGTTGGAAAACGCAAGCGAGCTCGAGATGAGATTGCACGTAAAGCAATACAATAAGATAGATTGATATATCGAACTATATTTCGCCTGATTCTTGTTGGGCGTTCAGCGTTCCCATGACAAAAAGCTGTTATAAACAAAGCCAAACGATCAGGCCATGGTAATGCTAGGAACTGTTCCCACCAACGTTGAACAATAAGTGAAACGTAAAAGCCCAAAACGAATGCTACAGGGACCGTTTCGTTGTACTGGCCACAATAGATGCACAATAGCTCAAAATACCTGTTTAAACCAATTATTGATCATGGTTCGTAAGTTATGTATAGCATACCATAGAAAATAAACAAAAGATTTGCAGTAAAATAGACAGTGAGTATGATAACTTTGAATATAACCGTAAACACGCTAGTTAAAAAGTCATTACAGTTGTATAACTATTTTTAACTGTTTAAGCGCAAAACAGTTGGTCAGTTCAATTTTGAAATATACAATATGGGACGATTTACCCATATGTCATCAATGCTGAAGCAACTTGTATAACCACTCAGATCAGTAAGCTTATGGGATAATTCTACAAATACTAACAACAATATCTAAAACATCCGAAGCAGCTAAAACACTAAGATTTCTATTTGGGTAATTACTCGACTGTTGTGATATACTAAAGAGCACTAATAATCTTCGTCAGTATAATGTTCGAACAGAACAACATATTTGATATACAGGAAAATTGAGCAGTTCAAAAATTTTTAACGTTAAAAAGTCGTTAGACTCATTTGTGTACTTGGCTCTGAGTTACACTCCATGTATGAGAACTAATAATAAGGTGCGGTTACCTAAGCTGAAGTTGATGGGGCGGGGTTCGAACCAGGAACTTATTGGCTGAAAGTCGAATGTTTAATCACTGAGCTACGACTCCGAGTTCGAAAAAATAACAGGCAGAGACAGAGTTGAAGAAATCAATAATTAAAAATGGTAAAGTTAGGTATATGTGAAATATTGATTTATTTACAACTTCGTCATGTATTATTAACTTATCGCGAACTGCGGGTCTTTAGTTCCACCTACTTTTAATAACTAGCTTGTAAACGTGAAACATACATGTGTGATTACTGAGCTGAATCATATTCTTATCATTAATTTGCAAGAGTAAGATGTTTAAAAGCTGGATTGAATAAGTACTGTACAATTCATTACGACTTGTGATCATATGCTTTTTCTTTAGAGCGGATTCCCATCGACTCCATAAAAGACAAGTTATACGTATCTCTACAAAACCACCGAACGCTAAGTGCAGTACCTTCATAAAACCAATACATGGAACATATGTTTACACTTGCTAGTAAATTTTTTATAAGGTATCGATTAGGAAATTGCTTTGACAAGAGATTTAGATTTTTCCAAGTCTGATTTTAGCATGACAATCAATGTCTTTTTTATAAGTACATTCAGATCATACTTCTCCAAAAGCCTTAGATGGCAGTAAGGGGTTCGAACTTCGATTCGCTGAAGAGACACTGGATTCCCATTCAAAGCCTGTTAGTAGTCACTAATATAGTGAATCAGTAACGTGGAGGCATAAATCTGTAGAGATTCGAACATATTACACTTGGTATCTCAGTTAGAAGACAAACTCAGTGTCTTGGAACTGAATTATAAATAGCCAATGATTGAGAGATGTAAACCAATGCACCTCCTGATCCGTGGACTCTGGCAGAAATCAATTAACTAAGAAAATGTATGACTACCAAACTAAGTAACACTTATGATAACGATTTCTGATGAAGACAATTCAAACCTGAAACGATAGTGTTGGAAAAAATATATTTTAAAAGGCTTCAAAATACTGATAGGAAAGTGTGTAAAGACCAAACTTAACGTATTCCATCGAATGATAAGATCGACACCAAGATTTGGATTCTTAGTTTGAAAGACAACCAGTATCTTGCAAGTGTTTGTTTTATGTTAGACTAACAGAAAGATGGTGCAGAAAATTTACTTGACATTAGGTTTAAAGAAGTGATTACTCCGAGAAATCCTTAAAGGCATCTGGTTCGATCTTGGATTCCGAAGTCCTTTCTACAAATTATTATGACAATATTGACCCAATTGATAACTGATTACTCCTTAGAGTTTTATGTGGACTATTTTTAAGACTCAAATTTACTGCTGATATTACAGGACTTACGTGTATCACCAAGTCAACTGGAGACCGCCTTGAAAGGGTTCATATTGGCAAAACGTATATATGTATAAGGTACGAAACGGACAGGAAATCCGAGATTATCACAACAAACACGGTTGCAACAAACGAGTGAGTTCTAAAATCTACTACTACTACTAATTTCAATTTTTCACTAATAAGACGTTAACTAAAAACCTCATTTACGTATGTAGCTATTCAGCGTCAACGTTTGGATAATTTAACTAACCTCTTCAGTGTCGCACTGAGGATAAACCTGTATGTAACAGATAAAACTGAGTATATACCGACGAAGACCAAAAACTCGAACCAAACCAGACGATAAACGCTTCCTTTCCACCTGTTTGTGGCTGTTGAGAACAAAAACCGTAAGCATTACATAAACAATAATCTTATAAAAGTCCAATATTTCGCAGTTGCCACAACCGACGAGTATGTAACCGTCATCTTTGGGAATAGGATCTAACCGACCGAAGGTAAACAAACGGTCAACGATCCATTGGCACCGTCCATTGAGGGAGGTTACTGAGCACTTGAAGGTCAAACCGTCATAAAACGATTGGTGCGTCATCGCGAAAATACGTAAGGTTTTGCAGAAGCGGTCAAATCAAGACGGCCATAAATTTAAGTTCAACTACACTATATATATAAGGAGCATGCATTAGTAAAGCATGTATCCGAACCCACACGTTTTGGTTCAAACCAAGGTTCTTCCTTGTTAGACTTGGTAATCATTCATGCTAATGCGAATACATATCCTCATTGGCAATATTGCCAATCTAAATATTCTTCCACCGTTAGTGAATGGCAATCACGCTGTCTGATCATTCATGTTTAGAGCTTGTGACATGATATACGATCAGGTTAGGCCCCGCACAAATGTATAGAGCTATCCGGCGCGCTATTTAAAAAGGACTGATATTATTGCTCGTTGAGTTAAATTTACTGTTTTAATGGTAAATTACGCATCAAAACTACTGCTTGCACTTTATTTGAATTTATTTCGGCCAAATTTTATTGTATTTAGGTATATTGACTTTGCTTCTGTGTATTTATTGGATCAAAGCATACTTGGTCGACTTTGACTTGATTTATTCGGTTAAGGTTTGAAATTTTTACATATCCATTTTTGTGCTACCACTTTCAGTTAATTTTTAAGATGGTCGGCTCTGCTCTCAAATGTGGACAGCCATAGTGTTTATTCCCCGTGGAAGAATTTGTAGTGACTCACATTTGTCACGAGAACACGACTGGTTTAATAAAAACAATTATTATTATAACCAACTGTACCAGTATTTGTTTTAACGCGCTTTTGTTTGACTGTGCTAATGACAGCTGTTTTGTGCTTCCATTCTTGTACTTACACTTTGATTGTAACTTCGCGCAAATTCGGTTACGTTCTGTAACCAAGCTTGTATCGTGGCACGATCTCGGTATTCTTTCGATGCCACGAGATCGCCAGCAAACATAACTCGACTTGGTCCATTAATTGCCTTCTGATATTTGGCTTCTTGGAGATTTTATGGGTTTCTTTGGTTACGTTCAACCTACGCCTTCTGATTTATTTGGCACGTGTTTCTTGGTAGCGGTGTTCATAGTCAACCGCGACTCGACGCCACGCTACAAATTAATGCAATTTGATTTGTAAGAAGTGGTTCCATAAGATGTGTACCCGCTTAAATCCCACTGCCTATAAAAGGTGCTCAAAACCTAAATCCCACTGGTTTTGTATGTTTTTTGTTTGCGAAAAACATTGCTCATCAAGGAGGCAATTAGCCTCATGGCATTGGCTAACAAAAAGGTTGATGAGGGCTGTTCCGGTAACATAAGTACTTATAGCTGGGAATGTGTCAGCGTCGTAATTGTTGTCACGGCATATGCTAGACACCCGACTGTGCAACATGCAATAGGGATTTTTACCCCGAAACAATTCTTGGGTGATACATCACTAGGTACTTGTGTGACCCAGACAAAACCATTATCGTCCCGAGTAGCCTTAACGTGGATGTTGCGAATGATGGGAAATGGATGACGTGAAAATCTAGAAGAGTAGGAAAGATGGCCAGAAATAGCGCTTGTTTAGTTTAAAAGTCCTTGGTGCTCACATTCTGAGTTTCAGATTACTCCGCGAAAGTCCCAAATTAAGACAATATTTAACCCTATCGTAGATGGGAAAGTTTGGTATCATCAAACATTGTCGTGAGTCATTCGCTCGAATTCTACGACTCTGATGTGGGAAAAACTGACTGCAAGCTCCTAGCAGTTGACAGTCAAGATCTGAATTCACGATCGAAAGCCACGAATACAACTTTCAAAGTGGTTAAACCCGTTCCTAGTTTAATTATTTGGAATCTCAAGGGGTCAAAAGACAATGACTCTGCTAAGAGACATGCACACGATCTTCAGTTAGTGGAATCTGTAATCAGAAATGTATTGCCTGAAGAGATTTAGGGGATACACACCACAGAAGTATTACGATTCAGCAAATAGTTTGGAGGCGAGATCTAATCAAGAATGGTTTCGAAGTTGGTATTTCGATAAAAAAAAAAGACGTAATTTTGATTAACGCATACAAAACTCGTAATTCAAATATTCGTATCCGACCAGATCGGGAGCTTGAGGATCGAACCCAGTAGAGGAATACTCTTACGGAGTTATAAACTAGAAAGCCAAGTAGCGAAAAGAACCCTACGACTAAGGGTTTTCGGGTGGTCAGATCTTAGAAGCCAATGCTTCTGAGACTTGTATGGGTAGAACGAATGATTCTCAAAACACCTTAAATACGTGCTACATGAACGCATATAGTCTTCCAAATAAAAAGTCCGAGCTAAGTTTGATGGTGGACAAATTAAGTCCCGATATAATTGTTGTCACAGAAGTTTGGCTCAGCGTAGATGTAAACCGTTTTCCCATCATTGCAGGCCACATCTGTATTGGAAGTGACAGGGTCATAAGTCACGAGGAAGTAGGCATAACATCATATGTTGTAATTCACTTTCGTATGCAATCAATCATATCGGAGGCGCATGTTAAAGGCACATATGTGGTACCATGTTGCACAATTACTTCCAGACACTGGTTATGGACTATAGGAGGAATATACCCCATTCCGTGTTGTCTTGCCGACGACTTTATCTTAAAACACACCTGTTCTTGGCGTAAGGCAGAATGTTGTCTCATCATCAGAGATTTCAACGTACCGCATATCAGTTGGATAAAACTTACAGCTTCTATCAACCATCATTCAGTATGTGCTTGTACAATGTATCGCAAAACCGATACATATTGAATTGGAACGTGAACCATCAATGCTGGACCTTGTCTTAACACATTACTGTGGCAATGTCACCGACATTCAGCACCTTCCACCGCCAAATAGTGATCACGTTGCACTTTACTTTGGATTTCGGACACGGTATACAGTGTGTACCTGTTCTGCCGCGTTCCAATATCTGGAGAGCTAATATCTCGGCAATCAGAGGTTGTGCCATCTCAACTGACTGGTTGGTCAATACGGATCAATCAATCAATGCCAAATGGAATAAGTTTAAGGCTGCATTCGAGTCCGCAACATCATCGCTTATCCCATGGACAACACGTAAACGATCACATTGCCCTCCATCAATTAATAAGGAAACCCGGAAGTTGTTTAAGTGCAGGAAACAGTTCTGAGACTTATTCTTGTCAATAGGACACAAACAATTTTAGTGTGAATACCATAAACTCCGTAAACACCAACTGTGAACCATAATTATAATTCCTCACACTGTTTTACAACACTCGTTTAGTCCTGTATAGTAAGAACCAACGAACGCACGCTATCTAAAAAGGACAGTGGTATTGTTTCTCGATGAATTAGTTAACTGTTTTGATCGTAAATTACGTTTCAAAACTACGATTTACACTTTAATTTAATCTACTACAGTTAAAGTGATATTCTATTGAGCTTTTTCGGCATTTGTGTATTTATTACATTCGAAATCATTCTTGGTCTGTATTAAAGTACTCTAGTTAAGGTTTAAAATCTTGCTAAAGTGTGTCTTGTGGTAACCTTTTATTCGTTGACTGACATTTGTGTTCATACTGTTATCATATTGTGTGTTACACCTTGATCTGACTGAAATGGCTGGTAGTACTCACAAATATGAACAACCAAACTGTTTGTTCCCTGTGGAGGAGGGAATGCAGTGTGACGAATGCAATAAGTGGTTCCACAAAATGTGCACCCGTTTAAGTCCCACCGCATACAAAAGATGTTCGAAGCCTAACTCAGATTGGCTTTGCATGTTTTGCTGTGCCAACAAAGCATTACTAATACAGGAGGCTATGAGCCTATTGGCTTTGGCTTGTAAGAAGAACGATGGCATATGCGCTGACAACACGGACACTGACAGTGACGAAAGTGTCAGTGTAGTACCTGCCGTTACGCGACGCCTCAAACAACCGACTCTGACCGACGTAAAAGTGAAATCTCCGTTGACATAAACAGGGGGAGTAGTACCACCTGGTACTGACATTGTTAATAATGCACCTTTAGTGGGAACCGAAGATCTTGATAAAACAGTCACCGTTCCAAGTAGTCCCAGTGTTATGAGGGATGAAAAGTGGGCTACGGTACGTAGGAAACGAAACGAAAAGAAAAAAGCTGTAAACAGTACACAAGTAGTTAGTAACTCACTGGTGGACTCAAATTGTGAGCCACAAATTGCACTACCAAAATCTGATGGTAAGAGTGAAACCCATCCTGGCGTGACTGAGAAGAAAAATCTAATAACATCGAATATTATTGTGAGTAAATTGCGGGAGTCCAACGACACTGACCCGAAAATTAGACACGCGCATGACTTAGAAAAGCTAGGAGAATACATTCGTAGTATTTTACCAGATAACTGCAAAGGAGTTCAGGTCAAAAAATTGGTCAGAATAGGCAAGAGGACCGAGGACAATGTTGAACCCCGTCCATGCAGACTCCTCAAGGTAATCCTAGGATCGGAGAAGCAACGGGATCTCTTGTTAAGTAGCGCTCGTTGTCAAGACAATTCTGACATCCGAGTTAGACCTGACGTGTCTCTCGAAGATAGAATAAAAAGGAAGAAAGCACTAGCTGAACTTGAGACCCGTCGGCAAAACGGCGAGGAAAATCTCCGGTTAGTGGGTTTTCGGAAAGTCAGGTCTTGGAAGCGAATGCTACCGAGGCCTGTGTGGATAGGCTGTTCTATTTAGGAGTTTTATATGCCAACGCTCGTAGTCTACGAAATAAGTTCTATGAACTAGAAGCATTAGTGGACAGGTTAAAGCCACTCATAGTAGCAGTGACAGAAACTTGGTTAGTTCATGACTTAGACATTACTCCAGAATTATCCGGATACCATTACCTCAGGAGTGATAGACATAGATGTAGAAAAGGAGGTGGCGTCCCGTTATATATAGACAATAGCATAAACATCCGCTCCTCTGCTAGTGAATCCTATGATAGCGGTACTTGTGAAGTCATTAGCTGTAAGTTGGCTATCAGATGTAGTACGTTTATGCTAGGTGTCATCTATC